GCAACTCCTTTAGATAGACACCAAGAACCATAATTGCTGGATAGTATGGTAAGATTGTTTAGCTTTTTAAAGAAACTGTTAAGCCAGGCTCAGCGGTGCATGCCTATAATCTTAGTGATTTGAGAGGCTGAGGCAGGAGGATCACAAGTTCAGTCAGCCTCAGCAACTTAGGCCCTAAGCAACTCAGTGAGACCCTGTTTCCAAATAAAATATAAAAAAAGGGCTGGAAATGTTGATCGTTGTTTGAACACCCCTATGTACCAAAAAAAAAAAAAAAAAAGAAAAAGAAAAGAAAAAAAACTGAAGCTGCACAACTGTCTTTCAAAGTGACTGCACAGTTTTTATATTCCCACTAGTAATGAATGAGCATTTCTGTTGTTATGTATTCTAACACATTTGATGCTTTCAGTGTTCTGTACTTTAACCCTTCTAATAGATATATAATGACATCTCACTGTCATTTTGATTTGCCTTTTCTAGTGGCATATGGTGTTGAATACTTTTTATATGCTAATTTTAATCTGCATATCTTCTTTGGTGAGGTGTCTTTTTATGTCTTTTGTCCACTTAGGGGAATGTTTGTTTTCTTGTTTAGTTTTGTGAGTCCTTGGTATATTTTTGGGAAAGAGTCCTAATCATATCATTTGCAGAGTGAAAATATTTAATTCTAATGAATTCTATCTTATCAGTTTTTTTTCTTCATCAAATTATATCTTTGGTCTTAAATCTAAATAGTTATCATTATACCCAAGGCCATCTAGATTTTTTCCTGTGCTATTTTCTAGAAGTTTATAGTTTTGAATTTTTATTTTTAGGTCTATAATCCATTTTGAGTTAATTTTGTGAAAGATATAAGGTCTGTGTCTAGATTTCTTTTTTTCATGTGGATGTCCAGTTGTTCTAGCCAAACTTGCTCAAAAGATTGTCTTTTTCCCTCCATTGTATTGCCTTTGTTGAAATTCAGTTGACTGTAGTTTTAGTGAATCTTTTTTCAAGCTCTCTATTTGTGTTCCATTACTCTGTTTATCTCTTCTTTCATTGCTACTATATTGTCTGATTGCTGTAGCTTTCTTGTAAGTCTTGAAGTTGATGTTGTTAATCTTCCAATTTGGTCATCTTCTTCAATATTGTGTTGGCTATTCTGGGTCTTTTTCCTCTTCATATTTGGTGGCTAATTCTCTGTGTTATGGAATATTATTCACAACTTGACCAGCTCATGAGGTCCCCAGATATTTGGCTAGATGCTATTGCAGAGTGTGTCTACAAGCATGTTTTTGGCAAGATTAACATTTGAATTGATAAACCAAGTAAGATAGACTATGCCTCCCCATATGAATAGCTAATATCCCTTCTATTGAACCAACACATGGAAGGGAAATTTCCGTGCACCTTCCTTTCTCCTCCTGTCTTCCTGATTACTGGAGCTGAGACATGAGTGTTCTGCCCTCACACTGGAACCTGGCACCATTGGCATACCTTTAGACTTGGAGTGGAACTTGTACATTTGGATTTCCACAGGGATTACAGTACCTGCTGGGTTCTCCACCTTACAGACACAGGTCATGGGACGTAATAAATTAAGCAATTAATTATAATACTTTTTCTAGATATCTGTATATATCTGGGTCTCTGAATAGATAGATATTGAGAGACAGTGTGTATGAGAGATCTGTCAGTATCTGTGAGTTTTTTTTTTTTCTCTAGAGAACTCTGATGAATATGAATACATTATATAAACTATAGAAACAGTTTGTATTCACAAAATAAATTGCTGGAATTCTGGTTGGGATTGTTTTAAATCTATAGAATACCAAATTAAGAACTTTAGGTACTTTCACTATTGTATTGTTTACAGTACTGGAGTTTCTGTAGATATACACGTATGGGTTTGGGTAGCTTACTTTGTTTTGATTTAATATTTTTATAATTGTAGGTGGACCTTTATTTTATTTATTTATATGTGATGCTGAGAATTGAACCTAGTGTCTCACAAATGCCAGGCAAGCACTCTACCACTAAGTTACAACCCCAGCCCCCCTTACTTTATTTTTAATTCTCAAAATTTATTTGCTATGAATGGAAATTCAGAGCCATAGTGTCTTCTTTTGATCTTACATATTTTATACACCCAAATATATCTCAGGAGTATCCTGTAGTTGCTTCATTCTTTCCCTTTATCATCATGCCTCCAGAGATAACTGCCCTTTTTCCAAGGTGACCCCCTACCTAACACTGTTCTGTCAAGACTCTCACCTTTGCTAACAGTCCTTCCTGTCTACTTTCCAGGTTCCTTTCTTTGAACTTCCAGTAGCAGATGTTCTGATTCAGTAGGGCCCAAATCTTGCCTTATGTTTTTCCCATTTAGATTTGGATTTTCTCTTGGTGGTGAGGCTTAGTTTGTGTTATGTGATTTTGCCACTTTCATCATACTTTACTGTCACACAGTCTTTACCCGACTCACTAAAATTTTTGTGGCTCAATAACTTTTGAATATCTGCAATTTTATATAGTTCTACCTGACAGAAAGGTAAGCACACTTTTTAATCTCGTGTTTCATGTCTTAATGAAATGCATTATTTTAATATCAATTCCAAGTTGATGAAAAGTTTTTGCTTTTCTCTATCAGTTTTATTTTCTTCATTGTTAGGTGATTATTTGTCTTCTTCACAAGTTGAGCTTTTTTTTTTTTTTTTTTTTTTTTTTTTTTTTGGTGCTGGGATTCAATCCAGTGCCTTGCACATCCTAGGCAAGTGCTTTACTACAGAGCTACATCCCTAGACCTTTATTTATTTATTTATTTGTTTGTTTATTTATTTGAGACCGTGTCCCCCCTAAGTTGCCCAGGCTGACCACTAACTTGAGATCCTCCTGTCTCAGCCTTCTGAGTAGCTGGGATTATAAGTGTACACCACCCTGCCTACTTGAATCTAAGCTTCTTGAGAGTAGTCATCTTCAATTTTTGTCATCACAATTTGTTTTGTTATCAGCTATGTCCTCTACATTATAGGAACTTAATAAATACTAGGATAATGATGGATTTCAACTCCTGTATATATTTATAGTGAACACTAAATCTACATATGATAAATTAAAGAAGTCTTACATGTTACATAATAAGAACTAAGCAAAACTGAAGTTGAACTAATGGCATCCTGTATGAGAGAAATGAATATTTTCCTCTTAAATCATAGTTCTGCTTGTTATATACAGTTGTAAATGACTTTTTATTTAATTCTTTACTTACAATGTGTTTCTGTAGTTTTACCAAGCAGTGTTTGTTGAGAAAAATAGTCTAGCTTTGTTTTTAAGTATGAAATAATAATAATAGTATTATTATAATGATAATAAATGATAATGTGGTTAATTTTAAGAACCTAAAAAGAAAGAAAATTTATTCAGATTCCATCCTCCTTTAAGTAGTTTTGGTTAGTGTATCAGTTCATTTTTTCTAGTGTGTATCTCTTGTTGGTAAAGCTAGTTCTCATTAGTCATTTTCCCTTTGTTTCTTGGCTTTAATGGCTAATAAATATTTGCGTTGATTCTGTGGTATTTTTCTTGTCCCATTACATGTCTAGGTATGGTGTCTTACTGTACTTACCCTATAATGAGATTTAAGTAGATAATAAATATTAAGAAAGTTATTTATAAGTCTGTGCTAATCCTAAGTTTCTGATTCAGGATAGCAATCTGACATAGACTTATCTGGGCTGAAATGATACATCCTGAAAAATCTATTTTAATTGTGTAAGAATTGGAACAAACAGGAATGGTTTTCTGAAGGAGAGGAATAATTTCAAAGTGTTACTTAAAAAGCACTGTTATGTTCAGACTTCTATTCTGTTTGAACTTATACCTTTATTGCATGTGTACTGTTATGACATGTAATAGGTTTTTATCAAGAGTTCCTTATTCATAACTCCCTCCCCAGAGTAGGCCATAAAAAATAGAATTTCTTTTCCCTGAGGAAAGTCATAGAAACTGATCGTGCCCTGCTTTTCTTTCTTGAAGTTGGGCATAAAGAAATTTTCTACCCTACTTGTCTGATAGGAGGTTATAAGACCATCCTCATTTCAGAAGGGTCCTGCCCTGTGCTCTGGAGGGGAAAATGATGCACAGAGAAGCCAAGAATAATTCAGGCCTTGCTGGGTTTCCATACCTAGACCAGTAGCATTAGATCATACCCTTTCTGTCCAGTCACATTTCAGTGTTGTTGTGCATGCTTCAGTCATACCTATGCAAGGAAGTCTCCATAAAAACCTGAAAAGACAGGGTTTGAGGGCTTTCAGATAGCTAAACACATGGAGGTTCATGGAAGATGGCATGTCTGGAGAGGATATGGAATCTCCTTGCCCTTTCTTATATACATTACCCTATGCAGAATTGCTTGCTTGCCAGTTGTCTGGTAAAGAGAAATCCCCACACTTGTTGAGGTTACAGAAATCTTTTGTGGTGTTATGGTATGAGAATGCAGTAATACCGGTTTGGTTTTTCTAACATAGTATGATACCATTTCTACCTGATCTAGTTGTTATGCCCTTTCTTAAAGCAAATAAAAAGAAAAATGATCTCTTAATATGTTAACCTGACTTTGTTATGTTAAACCAAAAGAAACTTTTTTTAAAAGTATCTATTACCAATAAAGCTAGCTCCAAATTAACTCTCTGCCTATTATTTCTGGGTGTTGTCACTGAATAGTTATCTAAACTTTGCTGGAGGGACTTGTGTTTTTGTTGAAATTAATTAAACTATACACAGGTATATCTATACCCTTGAAGAACATTTTTTGTTGTTGTTTATTAAAGATAATCTATGATCATTCCATGTTACACAACTATTTTAACAATTTAAAAGTGCTACAAATTGCTCAAATTTGCTTTTGTCTAACATTTAAAAACAGAACTCTTTAATTTGGGAGTTTTCTCTAGGGATCGATAGACTTTTGTCCATTTTATTTTAGTCATATCCATAATTTTAAAATACAACTTTATTTTGACTTGTAGTGTATGCAGAGAATATTTCCAAAATGGTGGGAAAAAAAAAGCACTGGAGAAAGATGAAAAAAGAGCTGTACTCGCCACTAAGACCACTCCAGCCTTAAACACGCATGAATCTTCTAAACTTGAAGGTCATTTAACCAACCTCAGCTTTACAAGCCCTGAATTTATAACTGAGTAAGTATACTTTTTCTGCTTCAATTAACATTATCCTAGGTAGCTGTTGGTGAAAAATAGTATAGTTTATACCAAATAGAGGGCACTTAACTTTCTCCTGTGGTAATATGTTAGGCTGAGAAATACAAATTTATAATATTATTAGGTATTAGGTAACTAACATATACTTTAAGAAATATCTGGAAAATTAGTGGTTCAGTAATGTATGTTGTCCTTGCTAAAAATGAGAAAAAATAGTCTATTAAATGTTATAATAAATGATTCTTACAATACAAAGAATCAAAATAGGAAAATTTGGTAAAAACCATTGAATTTAAAATAACTGTCCACTAAGAAATTACAAATAAGTGAAAAGAATGAAATATTTTTAATAGTACCATTCTTTGATTATGATTTGAAAATCTGCCAACTAATAATATATCACAATATATATAAGTACAAACTTTGTAAGTACACGAGTATTATAATCCAATTGATAATTAATAGTATAAAAATTATTTATGTATCTTAGTGCAAGAATGGATTTATGATATTAAGTAATATTTTATTAATTGTCTGCAAATGCTAAACTTAAATAATTCTGTAAATATTCTTGATAGATGCTGAAAACTAACAATGAAAGTAAAATTACAGTCCTAAATAATTCCCAAACTGCAAATACCACATAGCATTACCTTTGGTTACTTTGATTTTATACCATGTTCAAAATCTCTACTTAAAAGTAATTCCACTTAAAAATGAATTCACATCTTTGAGTAGTTCAGTAGGAATACTTTTCCCTATTTTATTTTAATCATATTCATAATTTCAAAATATAACTTTATTTGACTTATGTGTATGTAGAGACTATTTCCAAATGGTGGAAAGAAAAAATCATTTGAATGGTTCAGTAGAAAAAGACAAAGCAACTTTACTTTTATACAAAATTACTGTAAAGCTTATAAAATGTAACAGTTTAACATCTCATATCTTAAGTGTTATGGACATTCTTAACATATGTTTAAAATGTTGACTAATATAAGAAAGTAGATAGTTATACTTCGTCAAAAACAGATTAATATGGAAAGTATGAGTTCTAGAATATCTGTGGTTCTTTTCTATAGTCTGTTTCATTATTGAGAATCTCTTATTTATACAGTCACTGTCATCATATTTTCCTTTCAATCTTAAGCATGGTTTTATTCCTTTTATTTATTTGGGTTAATTTGTTTTGTTATTGTTTTGAGGCAGGGTTTTTCTGTGTTCCCATGATGGCATCAGACTCCTGGGCACAAGCAATCCTCCTGCCTCAGCCTCTAGAGTAGCTGGAACTACAGGCATGGGCCCAGCTGAACATTGTTATTATCACTGCCTTGAAGTTCTTGTCTGCTAAATCCAACATTTGGGCTAACTCAGAGTAAACTTATATTTACCTCTCTTTCCTGAGTTTAGACCACACTTTTATGATTTTTGTTATTTGTCTCATAATTTTTGTTGAAAACTGGATATTGTTGATAATATAGTATAAAAACTCTCATTTTGGATTTTCCCCCAAGGTGGGATAGAGGTTTTTTAGTAAATTGCCTGGACTTAATCTATGGAATTGGATCCCTTTATAGTTAGTGTATGCTGATTTATATCAGTCCTTTTTTTTAAAAAAAAGAAATTAGTTTCTTTAGTCCAATTTCCTTTGGTTTGCACTTGGATCTGCATAGGTTATGGTCAAACAATGAGGAGTGGTTGTGCTCAAACACCTCTGGCAAGGTTTCTGTTCTCTGCCAGAACATGGGAGTACATTTAAAATTCAAGCAGTTTTCAACTCTGCCTTACCTTTTGCTTCTGCCAGACCTGTTTTGGTCTCTCCTACATATATACATAGCCTTTTTTTGTCAGTCATGATATAAGGCTATGTGGAGACCTTATCTAGTCTGACTATGTCTATTTCATTTCTAGTATCCTTCTGTTTAGTTTCTGATTATTTCTTCATTTTCCATCTCAACACCAATCAAGACTAACATGGCAACCTGAAACTAGCATAGCTGATTTTCTTTATTTATTTCCACCAAATTTGTTTTACTAATAATGCTTCATGTAGGTTTTTTCTTTTTTGTTTTTTCTTTTTAGTTGTACATAACAGTAGAATCTATCTTGATATATTTATACAAGTATGGAGAATATATTATTCTAATTAGGATCCCAGTGTTGTGAATGTACATGTTGGTGTGATTCACTGTGGTGTATTCATATATGTACATAGGAAAGTTATGTCACATTCACTCCACTGTCTTTCCTATTCCTGTCCCCCATCCATTCCCTTCATACCCCTTTGTCTAATCCATTGAACTTCTGTTCTCCCCCTCCCACCACCACTTTATTGTCAGTTAGCATCCATATATCAGAGAGAACATCTGACCTTTGGTTTTTGGAATTGGCTTATTTCACTTAGCATGATAGTCTCCAGATGCATCCATTTACAGGTGAATGTTATAAAGTCATTTTTCTTTGTGACTGAGTAATATTCCATTGTGTATATAGATCATAATTTCTTTATCCATTCATCTGTTGATGGGCATCCAGGTTGGTTCCATAGTTAGCTATTGTGTATTGTGCTGCTGTAAACATTAATGTGGGGCTGGGGATATAGCTCAGTTGGTAGAGTGCTTGCCTCGCTCGCATGTACAAGGCCCTGAGTTCAATCTCCAGCGCCGCTAAAAACAAAATAAAACAAAACAAAACATTAATGTGGCTGCATCACTATAGTATGATGATTTTAAGTCCTTTAAATATATGCCTAAGAGTGTGATAACTGGGTCAAATGGTGTTTCCATTCCTAGTTTTTTGAGGAGTCTCCATACTGGTTTTCAGAGTGGTTGCACTAATTTGAAGTCCCAAGAACAACAACAAAACAAAAAACAAAAAAACAGAAAAAAAAAAAAAAACAAACAAAGGTGTACAAAATGTACTCTTTTCCCCACATCCTCGTCAGCATTTATTGTTACCTATATTCTTGATAACTGCCATTCTGGTCAGAGTGAGGTGAAATCTCAGGGTAGTTTTGATTTGCATTTCTCTAATTGCTAGAGATATTAATCATTTTTTTTAATATATTTGTTGACCGTTTGTATTTCTTCTTTTGAGAAGTGTTTCTTTACTTCCTTTACCTATTTGATGGGATTATTTGTATGTTTGTTTGTTTTGGTGTTAAGCTTTTAAAGTTCTTTTTATATCCTGGAAATTATCACCTTATCTGAGGTGCAGGTGGCAAAAATTTTTCTCCCATTCTGTAGGTTCTTTCTTCATGCTCTTGATGTTTCCTTTACTATGAAGAAGGTTTTTAGTTTGATACCATCCCATGTATTGATTTTTTATTTCACTTCTGTACTTCAGGAGTCTTAAGAAACTTAGTTCCTAAGTTGACATGTTGGAGTGTTGGGCCTACATTCTGTTCTAGTAGGTGCAGGGTTGAGTTTTGTGTAGAGTGAGAGAGAGGTATTAAATTTCATTCTACTACATATGGATTTCCAGTTATCCCAGCATCATTTGTTGAAGAGGCTATGTTTTCTCTGACATATTTTTTTGGTGCCTTTGTCTAGTATGAGAGATCTGTATTTATGTGGGTTTGTCTCTCTCCTGTTCCATTGGTCTTCATGCCTCTTTTGGTGCCAATACCATGCTGTTTTTTGCAATAGATGCAGAGAATATATTTGACAAAATATAGCATGCATTCATGTTTAAAACACTAGAAAATCTAGGGATAGAAGGAACATATCTCAACATTGTAGAGCTATATATGACAAACCCAAGCCTAAGTGGAGAAAAACTGAAAGCATTTTGTCTAAAAACCAGAACAAAACAGAGATGCCCTTTCACCACTTCTATTCAACATAGTCCTTGAAACTCTAGCCAGGGCAATTAGGCGAAAGAAAGAAATTAAAGTGATAGGAGTAGGAAAAGAAGAGCTCAAACTATCCCTATTTGCTGATGATTCTATATTTAGAAAACCTAAAAAACTCCAACAAGAAAACTTTTAGGATTCATAAGTGAATTCAGTAAAGTAGCAGGCTATAAAATTAACACCCATAAATCAATTTTGTTCCTGTATACCAAAGATGAATCAGCTGAAAGAGAAATTAGGAAAACTCTCCCATTCACAATACCCTCAACAAAATAAAATAAAATGCTTGGGAATCAATGTAACAATAGAGATGGTAAACCTTAGAAGATGGAAAGATCTCCCATGTTCTTGGATAAACAGAATTAATATTATCAAAATGACCATATTATCAGAAGCACTATACAGATTTAATGCAATTCCTATTAAAATTCTAGTGTCATTCTTCATAGAAATAGAAAAGGTAGTCATGGAATTTATTTGGAAAAATAAGTGGCCAAAAATAGCTAAAGCAATAATCCTTAGTGAGAAAAGCAAAGCAGGAGGCATCACAATATCAGACCTTAAATTATACAATAGAGCTATAGTAACAAAAATGGCATGGTATTGGCTCCATGTCGGTTTTTATACCCTTTGCTCCATCAATTTAGTCCCATCCAGCAGGAAAGCTGCTGTTTAACCCAGCCAGCTCTGACTAGGAAGAATTTTCATAACACCTGAGCCAGGGATGGGGATGATAAGAGCAGCTTCAGGCAAGGATACCACAGATCCCCCACTCTTCTTAACCTACATTCAGCTAGTTTTCATAAACTTTTTTTTTTTCAACTTACTTGGCCTTTGTTTGGGCTGCAGAATGGTTATGATCAATTTTTCTAGTTTCCTGTTTTTTTAAAAAATATATTTTAGTTGTAGTTGGACACAATTTATTTTTATGTGGTCCTGGGGATCGAACCCAGGGCCCCACATGTGCTAGGGAAGCACTCCACCGCTAAGCCACAACCCCAGCCCCTCATGGTTGCTTTTTAAAGAGTGAATTTGTCAACTTTTCAGTCAATCTTTTTCTCTGCTTCCATTTAAAAGGAGTAAACTTACATTGGTTTTAGGTATTTAAAGAAAAATACCCAAGTAT